GATGTATGCAGAATATGTCGTAACGATAAGATCTAGCCATGATATACTGCTCGCATTAAATGTTGAATTCTGTTTAATATATCCGAAGACATTCTTCGACAATAACGTCTAGTATTCTTCCTATGACCCACCCAGGTGTAATGATCTAGATTCTATCTTTATCAAGATGTCATTTCGTCATCGGTTGTCAAGTGTTTGATATCGAAAAGCCTTTCTTTTGACGCGTTTAATTATTATTAACTCGCCAGGTGGAAATTGCATCAGCGTTCCCTGCCACGTATTCCCGGAGCCGGAGACTTGAACGCGCGTAAAGGCACGCGCCGGTCAAAGTTCTGCCCTCACTTAGCAATAATTCAGTTCGGTTCAGCTTACCCTCAAGTCTTCTGCCTCCGTGCGGCTCCGTTCTCCACAATACTTCCCTCGACTTCTTTTCTCCTTTTTTGCCCGTGTCCCTTTTCTTTTCTGTCTCCGTACTCCCCTCGGCCCCGCTTGTCCGGTAGTTACGTGCATACACGTTCGTAACACAACGTGCCAATATCGATAAGTCAGTCGGAACAAAAACAACCGAACGATCGAAGCTTCGACTCTGTTCCGTTCCTCTGCTTACCTTATTTGCCATTCGTCTCCCGTTCGACGCGTCGCGATCTCCTTACGTACATAGCAAGATCGCGGGAATAAAGCAGAAGGAAAGTAAAAAGAAATTGGAATTTCACTTTATTCAAATTGAACTACAGCTATTCAACCGTGAACGGTAATCGTTTAGAAATGAATTCCAAGGAAAGACGGCAGGTAATGGCGATTCGAAAGCTACCGTAGGACGCTCGTCAAACGCAATCAAGGGCTGGGACATCGGGAAAGAATGAGCGAAAGCGGGATGACCCCGGGTGAGCGTGTAACAAGGCCGTGAAAGAAGGAGAGAATAAGGAAGAGACGCTACCGGTCTGTAAGTTACGTGGTCGCGCGAATGTTCGCCAATTATCTCGAACGGCTAGTCGACTCTAATTGGACTTTACGCTAGTGGGTGGGATCAGGGTTGCAGACTAGTAAGAAAAAAGAAAAAGAAACACCATCACCACAACCTCTCTGGGTACGTGTGTACGTGTCGTGGGTGCATTCGTGGCTGAATAGCAAGTACGGAGCGAGGTCGATAATTGGTCGAAAGCAGGGAACGATTTGCTCCATTAAATCCCGCGCCACGGGGCCCATGGGTTCTCGCGTACAGCCAGAACTGCGGGCTGTTCGAGGTGTTCCTGTACGGTTACGACGATCGTATCGCTTTGTTACACACCTCCGGTACCAATGGCTATAATAGAACGATCACATCGATCCCCGAACGTTGCTTTACGGTCTTTACCTGGAAGCTATATTACTGACCGGCCACGCGTTCCGTAATTTCTCACACGTGCTCGAATTTACCCGCGGCCGGGTACGTTAAATCCGCTAACAACCAGCGCGTCGACGTTTTACGTTTTCAATGATACACATTGGTGATGTTTCAATCAGCTCGCCGGGAACGAGGAAAATTTGTGTTCGACGCGTAAAATGGTCGCGTTACGCGTTCAATGGCTCACACTTTCGAGAGAACGAGAATTTATAGCACTTCGAGTGGGTCACGAGACTTGTAACGGACTGAAATGTATTCTCTGGTCATTTTGATGGGATTTGTCTCGATTTATAACTCCTTGAAGAATTAATGGGAGTTACTTATTCGTTTATTCGTCAAATTCTTATTTCCTGGAGAGCCACACGCCCACTCAACTTAATGATTTACGATAATTCCTGAATTCGCGCAGCTGAACGCGATAAAATAGGTAAAAGCGGCTCTTGGTAACAGTTTTCCGGATGTTTCGTGGAAACTCGTGGAACGACAATGGAGGAGAGACGAAGTCAATAATATCCACGTAAACACCCACACGCGTGGCGACTCGTACGGGCCCCTCGACGACGATTGAGCCACGGCCCGGCCGTAAGTCTCGCTCGGGCATAAAGCAATCCTGAAAGGAGAACGGGGTATCCATTTCACGAGCGATGGAGACATCGGGGGTACCTCGTTCGATTCCAACCGTATGCTAATTCTCTTCTTGAACCGCCGCTCTCGTGTATCGCCACGGTCCCTTAGGAAATAGTAGGAGGCCCTCGAGGATACGTCTTCGACCGTCGTTACGTTTTTCCACGATCGGAATCCCTGTTTTCTCCGAAAGGGATCAACGGTAGCGAGATACCTTCTGCGAGTTATTTCGAACAGGTTTGCCTCGATAGGAACACCTTTCCCCAGGATAACGACCCTTCGGTGTTTTTCACCTGCGCTTCACGATCTTGCACAAATGGCCCGCATCTTCGCTTCACCCTTCCGGTAGGAGGTTTTTCGATCAGGGAGTTAGGTACCTCGAAGTTCCTTCACGTTTCGAGGCAATTATTTAGTGTATTTTAATCGTAATTATCAGGAGGGAAAAATTAGTCTTCCTGAGATATTTCAGCAGCCATCAAAATCCACCTGGTCGTAGGTTTGCATGGTAACCAGATATGGGTAGAGGACCTCCCGTAGAGAACTCGAGCGACGACTGATAAAAATGTTCGTACTCAATTCCTCCTCTCTTCGTTTGCTCTCTTTCTTTCCCCGCTCTTCCGTTTCCTTGTCTGTCTTTATGTCCTCGTCTTATTTGGAATGAACGAAGGACGAGGGACATGCGAGATTACCGCGGCGCTGCCCGTTGAGACGCGCCTGTCGAGACGAGACGAACGGAGCGGAGCCATGCGGTAGGTACCCCGTAAGACTCCGCGGGATGATAAAATGACGGGTATGAGATCGGACCGCATGCGACGCGTAGACACTGTATTCGGCAATTTCCGGGCCTTGTGCTTTTCGTAATCGCAGCCCATTGACGATTGATTGGAATCTTTAAATAGACAATTATCGATCGCGCGTTTCTTTTTCGTTAGCTCCAAATGTTCATAGAACAAAAATGGCAGGAACTCCTCGACACACGTGCTTCCATTGCACCGTTTTTTCATCGTCAGAATGGTCGTCGTCGTAACGCTGCGGATAATTTATGTAATTCATTCGGCTAATATCGGCGAGCCGTGTCGTAAAGCGTTCGCATAACCAATTTGGCACTAAAGACCCCGGCGCGAGGGCCCTTTAGAGTCCCCCCTCGCGGTGGGCAGTGCCATAACATTACGGGTTACGAGTCTCTCTCTTGCTGCTCCGGGGACTCTCTCGTTTCTCGTGGTCATCTTCTTCGTCTCGTTGTCGTTTCTACCCGTGTACCTTTTTATTTCTCCTCTACTGCCTGCCCGCCTTCTTGGCCCCTTTTCCAGCCGACTCGCGTCTCGTTTTCTCCGTTCCAAGCCCACGGTGTCAGGTGGAGAAGCTGCATCGCCCGATGGTGGATGATATTAGCATGGTAACTGGGGGCCCCAGCGGGCGCCTTATTAAATTTGTACCATAAGCAATATCGCGATGCGGCCCAGGCCCGTTTCAATTTGCCAGCCTGGAAATTTAAGGCTCGAACCGTACCTCGTGCACCCGTCTTACCGATGCTACTGCTTCCCTCTCTGCTTCTGCTAATCGTCATTTTAATCTATCTGTGATTTCGCGAATACAAAGTTGCGATTAGCAAGCGGACAGATACGGCCCGGATTTATTTGATGTCTTTGTTCGAGTGTACGTGGATCGTTCTTGTGGTATTTTAGGGACGATTTAAAAGTGAAATTTGAAAGAGTCTCGCGTGGGAGTTATGGTAATCTTGCGTGGGAAAAATGAGATATAAATTATTTCCCCTTTCGCAAAGTTAAACGTCATAATTTATATCGTTTTTATCTCGGTTAAATGAATATCGGAACAGTAACTGCCCTTGATTTATTTTTCGTAAGTATCCGGCGAACGAGGGTGTACGTAACAGGTGCGGATACATTAATATCGTTGCAACTGTTCCAATTAACAGTGCAAGTCCCAGCGTGTGTTAAGCTATTGCCTGTTTACGTCTTAACTACTCCACCGGTGCACACCTTATGCTAATAAGCAGTTGGAGGCTTAACAAATAACGAGCCCGAGGATAATTTCATAGGGGAAATATTTTCACTTATGAAGTTTGGTAAATGGTGTCGCATCTGGTCGCAAATCTCGCTCCGTTCGTTCTGCAAGGTGGTTATGCGCCAGAAACAAGCCCGATAGTTTCTTTTAATTGCGTCACACCTAGCTGCATCGGAACGCGTAAATTGGCGAAATCTCAGGGGGGTCGCGTTGCTAATTTCAGCCTCGCGCCTGAGCTCCGTGGATCCACATATTTGCCGGTTTATCGCATTCCGGGAATTAAATATCTTTCTCTAGATACGATACTGTAGACCACTTTACTACCGCACCTAACAACGTTGCAGCATCCGTGGAATTACACCCTCGTCAGCGATTTTGTGGTTTTATTTGCATACGCGATAATTACGAGGCTGATAATGATTGTGGGAATGAACTGCTGCGAATCGTTTCGTTCAATTTAATTAAAGAGGAATGGAAATCATAGTTAAGACTAAAACTATCAAAGGGGTAAAATGATAGATTTCAATTTTTTTATTTTAAATTGTCAAATTTATTCAAAGGAATATAATTTTCCGCTGTTTAATAAATCGATGGTAATGAACGCATCTCCAAAAATGAAATTGACGATGGAAGGGGTTAATTAAAGGAAGGTGTTAAGCGTTTGTTCGCCGAATACCTCTTCGGGTCAGATTAATTCGACCCTTCGATCGTTCGACGCGTGTTCGTGTTTAGATTCATCATCGCGCCGTATGACGACAATAGCAAATATTCTTATGCCTACACACGGTGACGCGTACTCGAGAGAAGGAGGAGAAGACAGAAAGAAAACGAACGAAATGAAATGACATAATAAGACGCTTGTGCCAACGGCACCATGGCGCTAATGATTACAAATGGCCGGACCGATGTACTTGTGCCGACCAAAAGGACAAGTCGAGTGATCGATCGCTTCCCCCAATATCGCTTGATTCGATTTGGGAGCGTTTCGTGCCGTAGCCGAATTCTTGGCCAACTTTCTGTCGTGTTGGACAAACTTTGTCGAATAACCGACGAAACTCCTCGCTAGACACGATGTGTTAATGGATAATTCGTAAGATTGAGATAAAACTATACTTACACTATATATATATGGTAAATTACAAGATTATGTATGCAACTTGAAATGGTGGAAAATTTGTACAACCTAGTAACCTATAACATTGTTTGACATTTCGTCAAGATTTATAGAAATATACACGCGTAGACGTCAGGATGGCTGATAATTTAGATATGACTGTTTACAAGAAGAAGATGAGAGTTCACGTTTCAAAATCCTTGAATGTAGTCAAAAGCTGGGAGTATCTTGGTACAATTGCAGCAGAGTACATTGCTGGACCGGAATATTCGCACATTCCTTATTTAGTCGACACCAGTGCTTATAAACTCGGTCATATCTTCGTTCAGGAAGCTGCTGACGTGACGTTTATGAAACTATTTCATTATTATTCATTCGATAGAATCATTTTCTCATTTCAAATATACTACAGGTGCAATGTTTCTGTGTTGATCCACAATTGAAAATCCTCGGTCCCATTCAAGATTTCCTTAGTCGAAATAGAACCCATTCCAGATGGCTCGATACAGAACTTCCCGCCATAAAGACGACCGGTGATCACGTGAATTATAAAGTAATTAAATCATCGACAGATACTTACCGTCTAAATTTCTAATACGAATAAAGCTCTTGGTCTCGGTGGTTATTTAAGGTTGAGCTTGAAAACACGAAACACAGTATGGGATTCAGAGCCTACGATGCCTTCTTCTTGGACAAGGCACCGGATATGTCGGTCGAGGGAGACGTGACCATAGATCGGTCGTCCCACGATGGTATAAATAACAGTACCCCTCGTACGAATAAGATAAACTCGGGTCAGACTTTCTCCGAATCAACGAAATTATAGATAATAGAGGCTCGATTATTCTACTCCCGCACACAGACGAGATCCGCTAACACGGTCGTGGAAAGCATCAAGTATATCAGAGTATCTTTTTTTCACGGAGCATTAAAATGCACGTTGTTCCTCCTTCTCTTCAGAGCTGTCCCACACGGATTGGTTCGGTCTGATCACCGGCGTATTCACCGCGAGCGCTTCGAGCATTTATTTGGTCCGGAATCATCGGGAGAGGATGTTCTACATCGGCGAAAAACCGCACACCGCCTTCTTTAAATACATCGTTTGCAGAATGGACCACCGAGGAACCGTACAGGAAACCGTTAGTTTTCTTCGCTTGCGTAACACGCTCGGTCCGTTCGGAGATTTACGATTCTTCGAATTCAGGTGAGCGCGAAAATAGAGTGCAAATGGCTGCCACTTCAACAGAGGGACATGGACACGTTACCCTTAACCAAATTCGTCAGTCAGTCTACCAGACTAAAGTCTTGAATACGTCTTTCCAAAACGCTTGATGTACGATGATGTTCCTCATAAAAAAATTACTCGATGCAACTAAGGATTTTTTTGTTTTTTTTAAACGAACGTATCTCGAGAAAACAAGGGTGCGCCGCGTCGGGCGGCAAGAAAAGGGCCGCCCCGCCGATGACACCGAAGCGAACACAAGCAGATACAACCGTATGATTTATCCTTATTTTCGCGGAGCGAGCCGAAGTGGGCGCTCAGCACCCAGCTGCGGCACGCTTCGTCGTGGTTCACCCAAGGCAGATCGTGTCTCCCGATACGAGGCGGCACTCGCGCGACTCTCCGCGTGCTCATCGCGCATGAATTATTGCGAGATCGGCAAACCGCGCAAAATTCAATAAAGTTATTCCGCCGGTGTGGACGCGCCGAGGCGAGTCGAGTCGAGGGTGGTGCAGAATCGCAGCAGGATTGAATTATCGGCGTTAAATTTCGCGTTTTACGCGCGCGGCTGCTGGATCGCCAGCCTTGTCACCGTCGTCCAATGGAGACATTATAAATGTTAATTGCACGAATTGCACAGTTATCGTCCCTCCCTCCCGCGCTACTCTACCAGCTTTCTTATACCTCTTTCCTTTCAGCTTCAACTCGCGACGCGTAAGTTCGTTTCGTTCGTCTCCTTCCTCTTTCTCTCGTAAACATTCTCTCCCTGTCCGGCCAGTCGTACCGGGAGAGGTTTGCATTTGCATCTCAATCTCGCCGTTGATTTAGCAGTGGTCCAGGGCCATCGCTCTTGCCGCGGGAAAGGTCGACTTTAGTATTTTTAGATTAGCCAGCCGCGATATACAGCCTCGCGTCAGGCACTTTTTCAAGGTGGCCAACGACGCCCGTACCGATGGGCCCCGAAGTGTAAAGGTAGAAAAGTAAAAAACGGATCGCTGGAGGATTCGGTGAAAGAAAAGAAGGTCGTGAGCGGCAACCTTCGAGAAGCTTTAAATTAAACCCCGAACGGGAGAGATGGGTCGCCGTGCAGGAACCAGGAAAAGACCGCGAAGGAGGTCGACTTTTGTCCTTGAAACGTACGACCATCTCTCGTACGGGGATGGCTGCGTCATAGGTCATCGAACCTTTTTCGTAATGCAGCCAGGAGATCCTTTTATCGGGCGCATTTTACACCGTCCACGATCGAGGACGAATCTTTCCTCGTAAATACGCTCGGACCAACGGGGCTATAATGCATCGGGTTGCTGCAAGAATCCTGCTGCATTTTTGTATGCAACGATATCCCCTCCGCTTTTGATAAATGCCTCGAAATTAAAAATAGAAATTATCGACGTCTAATGGAGCTGTCGCCTGTAATTTCCTCGTTAATTTAGTAGATAGAAACGAAAATGGCGGCCGATCAGCGGCCGCGACAGTAAAGTGGCAATCATTATTGCGCTGCTCCCGCATCGCTGGAGCATCGGCACCGCGCTATATATCATCTAACGAGTTAACTTTTGCACCGACCCACCTGCCGCCATCTTGAAATACGTAAATAAACGCTATCTTGATCTTAATGGATCCGCGAGCAAGCGTGTCCGGACTGGCGAAGGGAAACGCCGAGCGATTGTTACTATTATCGTGTCAAAACGTAAGAGAGATGCTTATTCGTAGATGGATATCTTTGGGGACGGTGTAAATCTTTTGGATAAAATACGGTTTACCGTAGGGTGTAACTCTTCCGATGTTATGATCGAAGCACGAGTTGCTACCGAGGCAAACTGCAGAAAATCAAATGGTTCTATTGTGTCGAAACGGAGATTGAAAAGTTTCATTAAAAAATGTATATTGGATAATTATTATTTTAATTCGAGCAACAACGTTCGCGTATGCAAATAATGGCAGGTCGCGGTTAACGTACGTTTAGAGGCGGCTGCGTTTAGAATGCAGGCTGCAGTTACGCGTTCCATGCATAGCACAACTTCCGGTACGAGGGGCGGAAATTGTCCTTGTCGGCGCGTGCCGGCCACGCGACCAACTTCTTGGTTGTATTTCTAGCTGAAGGGACTCGTTACCTGTGACAATTCACTTTAATGAGACGATCCAGTCGCGCCACGTAATTGCGCGATCAATGCCAACGCCTTTGGACGACAGGGCTGAGCTGTGAACACAGTTGATGACGAGTGGAACTGATTCAACATTGACAAGTCATCGGTAAAATTGTCAAGGGAAATGTATAAATCGAGGGAAGAAATTAACGAACACAGAATGATTAGGTTCAAATTTATTTTTTAAAATGGAGAAATCAAGATCCACCAATATTGAAATGAATGATTTATAGTCTGGAGTAAAAATAACCGAAAGTGGGTAGGCGTGACCCCGTTCGTATCGCGCAGTAGACAGTACATAAAAATGCGTATCTGCTTAGGGCTCAATAATTACAAGAGTCACCCGTTATCTTAGAAATCGTGCGGGTAGTGGGTTGCGGTGCAACGATGCAGCTAGGAGGCACCTGCAGGCTGCGCGTGCCGACGCACGAGTGCAGTGACGTGACGCACGTTGCACACCAGTGCAACACCAACTCGTGTAACGTCATTTCAGCGAGCGTTCGTTGTTTCAAGGAACAGTTGCCATGGTGAAAGAAGCAAAGGTGTACGCGTAACAGCCGTGACACCTGATTTCAATCGTCCCTCCACGTACTTCCTGGAAGAAACCAGGAGTAAAAGCGTGAAATTTTGATGAATTTTCTACTTGATATATTTCATTAATCTAAATGAAATTTTTATAGGAGGTACAGTTTTAGTATTGGGTGACAAAAATGAAATTTAATAGAGACAGTTGTAACTTTCACGCGAAGGCTGCAGCTAATTAAACGCATTGTGTCACAGGAGGAATAAATAGGAAATTAATATCCCCACCTGCGGGGCCCGATCGCGTCCCCTTCGATCCGAACGAACGGATGCGCGCAGCACGAATTAATTTTACTGTTTGACCCGGCCCGACCCCGTTCACTTTTGTGTGCCTATCCCACGGGTTTGTCTGTTTGACGTTCTTCCTGTTACCTACCGGTGCCTCGACGTGTCGCGTTACGTTTTCGTTTCTTGTTTTTTTCTTTCCTTGACATCCTGCCGATACGGGTAGCCATTATCTCTCCTTGAATACGTTAAAGTACTTGAATACTTCCGCTTGGGGTCAAGAAAACCTGGCTGCTCAACAAAATCCATGATAGATTTTGCGCCAGATATTCCATCGAATTTTGTGTCTTTCTTACACAATTTTTAATTATTTTTTTGTGGACTTTTCCATGGCGTAACTTTATTTATGATCATCGTGTTGGTAAAGAAACGGTTTCTGAAAACCTGCTGCGAACAAGGTGGCGGTTTAAGGTGCACCACCACCTGCGGCCAAGTGGCACAAGTCTTGGTGGTACCTGCGGGGTGGCGAGCCAACGCATCCGAGCATGATTCCTCCGCATATGTCGCGCCTTCGTGGCGGAACACCAGCGGCTGAAAAGCGCGTGCCAGGAGGACCCACTGCTTGAGCCCTCCTTGGAGGACCTGCTAGGAACTGGAATCACGCAAGCATGAATCCGCCGAAGGAGGTACCCTTGCACCTGCAAACCCCCAAGACGGGGTGCTCCTACTCAACGACAGGATCAACCGTGCGTGATTCCTTGCCACATGACGCTTTACATTCGACGGTGCACTTCAATTTCAAATTGGGAGCACCTTGGGGGTAGGAATTGCAAAAATTTTGGCAAAAATTTAGAATTTTCATAAAAAGATCTGCATTTGCATAGGGCTAATTTAAAATTATCTTTTCTGCCAACGGTTTCATGTACAAAAGCCAACAGATGACACTTTTAATAAGCATTCAATTATCCTGATAATTCACCGTTTCCATTCCAACAAATTCAACTTAATTACCCTATAGCAGCGACAGGCATACCAGGCAATAAATTAAATTCCTGTTCACCTATGGAAACGTACGAACCACATTGGGTGCAGAACGTCGCTCGAGGGGGCGAAAACATTGCTCTCTGGTGGCAGGTCTTGGGAGGCAGTCGGCCATGTCTCCTCCGCGGAGGGTGTCCAGGAAAAGTGGCGTGCACTCACGAAACCGTGGCGGACAGGTGACACGCGCCGGCCACGCGCACGTTACACCACACGGGTGAATTCCGTGCGCGTTTGACTCGCGGCATAAATTGCTAGAAAATAGGTAAACATTGGCAGGGCACTTATTCCGTGACATTCATCATGGCCCTTTTCTGGGACGAATCTTCGTTTGCTGCTTCTGTAGGGTCGGTCACGTGGCCGGAAATGTTCATAGAAGAGGCTTAAATTGTACGCGGGATGTCGATGACTATTTATATTATGTTTCCTTGCAACTATATTTTCCCCGTTCAGAGATAAAATAATTATAATCGAGAGCCTCGGTTCGAAAGGATCCAAGTAATGCGGGGTTAAAGAAATTCTTTAGAGAACGGCGAAGGAGGAACAGGGAAAGAGAGAAACTTTACAGTAATTCACGAACAGGTTTACATACTTTTATCGTGTAATCGTAGACGAGTGGAGCGTAGCTTGATCGAGGGCGGGATTACGCCCTCGAGCAAACGGAAGTATCAAGATCGAGCGCGATAACGCGCGACGCTCTATATCGGTTCTCGATAGCGGTTCGAAGCCGCGGCCGGTTTATCCGGATCGCAGATAATCGCTGATACGAGGGACCATTGGACAGGTGACTTATCTTTCAGGTATGCAAAATGCTCGCGACGTGGCCGACCGAGCGTAGTCATCAATAGATGCAGGGATGTGGGGGTTGCATAATTGTATAATTACTTTGGGAAACGATATAGCAAAGTAAGGTTTAATAATCGAACCGGAGATGAAACGTTTTGAGTTGGACAGGAATTTTAATAAAACGATTTCAGATTCAATTACATCAGGAACAATCGACTATATTATTCGTTGCCTCGTGATTCATCCGACGATTTCGAGCCATTGTCAGCGTAATCCACTTGAACGATGAAAGAAAGCAAAGAATTCGTCAAGGAACCATCTTCTCTTGAACTAAACGAGGCACCGTAACGATCGCCTCGGACTCGGTCTGCCATGAATCGTGGGTTAGAATTAGACGATAGGTATCGTTGTT